GTTCCCTTTCCCCACCCCTGGTACTTACCAGCTCAGAGTAGCTGCAGCCACCAGGGACTGTCTGAATCATCAAAGCTCTCCCAATCTTTGCTGAAGATTCGGAGAGCTTTGAATTGATTCGGACCTTTAAATTGATCCCTTGATTCAATTTGGGCCGAACCTCCTCCGAATCAAATCACCGCCCGAAGCTTTGCACAGCTCTAGTGGCTACGTTGGCTCTCGTGTATTTTGCAAAATGCATTGGTTTCATTCCCAATGTAAAATAGAAGCATGTTTGAAATTATGGTTTTCATTGGATAGGCGCACACTTCTGCTTAGCTGTAGGCATGATTTTTATTGGCACAGTTATTTGAGTCAGTGCAAGTGTTGCTGGATGAAATTCACTGCCCTGTATTAGATGGGGTAACACTCATCCTAATGATCCTTTTAGGCCTCAAAGCCTATGTATCTCTACAAAATGGTGAGATAGTATGTGCAAAAGAGAGCCGGCAAGTTCACACAAAAATAAAACCAACTAACAAGCCAGAAATGATTGGCCATACTTGGCAAACCTACAAAAATGCTTCCAAGTTTAAACCAAGGCAAATGTTTGCAGCAGTTTGTGTTTCTGAATGGGTTTAGCCATCCCTGCTCAGAACAATCTGTGCCCTGATTGGCTGGATTAACTGCCAGTTAAAATATCCTCTGAATGATCTTTTTTCTTTGAAATTCAGGGCAGCAGCTGTACCTTCCTGCAGTAGTCAATTTGGAGCACGTTCAATATTTGGCATGGGGCTAGGAATGAGCGAGGGAACAGAATATGATCTTTAAAATAAACAGCATATCAAAAATAATAATTCCCTTAAAATAAGACAGACATGTTGGATAGTGACTAATTCACTCTAGGCTGTTCATTTCCAGAAACTGGATATTGACTTTTCAATAATATTACCTTCAAGCAATCATCTTCAGAAATCAGAAGCAATGATTGCCCTTCTGTTCCAGTGCTGAACCAGTTAATCTATATATGCTAGACATGACAACAGTGAATGAAGCAACCTGCCGAGCCAAATGGACTCATGTGAGATAGGAAATTGAAGTTCAGGAAGATGCCAGTTCTCTTTGCCTATTTCACACTGCTAGGGCCTGTGCAACTTGAATGGTATTTACTGTCTCAGCGTTGACAAGTGAGAGTTTAATTCCAATTCAGTGGTTTGAGTTTCTATTTAAGTGTAATGCCATTGATTAACAGAGCAACCTGAAGTGCTAAAACAGGTTTGGAGGAAAATTGTTTTCTTGCCCTAGAAAATGTTGAAATGTCTTCCTGTCATAAGTAGGGATGAAAAGTTGAAATCTCAAAACTATCTGCAAACCAAAAATAATAATTACAAAAGAACAATTTTGGTTCAAGTCAGTCAAAGTATATTGAAAATTTCAAAAGCTTTCATTTAGCTTTTGACCTTTATTTTTTCAACTGAATCAAAACTGAAATTCATAACCTATTTTTAAATGTCTGTTCTTTTAAATTATTTTGTAAATGGGAAAATCATCAAAACTGGCCCCTTCCCACAAAAAGTTTCACTTCTGATGAATCAACACTTTTCAGTGTAGGAAAATAACATCCAGTTAATGGAAAATTTCTCAGCCAGATCTAATATTAACCTGCTTGGCTCTGTGCAAGATGGAAGTCTCATAGTTGCAAAACTTCCATAGGAAACTCTAATGCTTGTCACTGGTTCATATTCTGGCCCAGTTCATTAGTGACAAAGTTGATACGCCTTGATTAAAAGATGGGAAATCAGTCTGGTAATCTTATTTCCACCCACACTTCTGCCCACACTATCATGTCCACTATTTTGCTTCTTTATAGGCAGCCCCAACAGAGAGCTCAGAGCTGATTAGGCAGTGAAGACTGAACTCACTGCTTACCCTTGGAGATGATATCACCACATCAGCACTTAGTCACACTGTTTCTGAGGAATATTGTGTTGATATTGTCTGGATCCCTATTGTTCTGGACATAAGGGAAGGACTTCAGTTCCTAGGGATGCTTTTCTGCTAAATTGCCCTGTCAGCTGGAGCCACGCAACTGGTTCCTGCAGATCCGCTATGGCAGGTGCACCTGGGTATCTCCATTGTTGATACTTGCCCAAGGGACGCATTTTCTAGGGTAGCGTGGTTTTATAGAAGGAATTACACAATCAAGCCTGGGAGAAGGCTTTGACTTAGATTTGCACTTGTGACTCCTGGCCTTCCTAATGAAAAACTAAAGACTAGGGAGAAGATGAGCCTGTGCTATAAACAAGGGGCTGAGGTTCTCAGGCCTGCTCTGGGTAGACAAATGGTCAAAAGCAACATCCAAGAGCTCTCAAATCCAAGTTCAAGGTGTGGAAAGACCATCATTATGCAAGCACTTCAAAGACAGCTATAAGACTACCCTCTTAGGACCCCCTTGCAAGTCCTGGTAATGGTAGTAGGAGCTCTGTGCATGGCATTTCAGAGGCTCCAGACAGTGCTGAAGCACATGGGACACCCCTAGAAGACTGCTATATCATAGACAGGCACCTAAGGCAGAAGTTAGGATAGGTTATTTGCCAGGGTCAGTGTGTGCAAAGGTGACTTAAAGTCACCAGAGTCTACCCCCATCCTAGGACATCAAAATTATGCTCCTTAGAGGAACAAGCCACAATTTCCTTCAGAGTGTGTTTGTTCTTTTAGACCTTCATGCTTCTTCAATGCTGAATAACAACCCAGCCAACATGCTTCTGCCTGCTGGTAATGCTTCTGGTTACATCACTTCCCAGGACAGTGACACGGTGCATTAGGTGAGTGTCCCAGCACAGCGCTAATACTGCCTGAAACAGATTAAAAAATTAAGACCTGGATGGTTGGCAGCACACACCCTCCATCCAGCAGATGCATTTAATGACTGTAATATACAGCAGCATCCTGTGATTAAGAGAGACAGCAAGCGTCTAAAATTAAGAGCAAGGTTAAATACATGGTAGGGGTTTTTTTCAGCTTCTTCTGCATTCTGAGCTAGATTCTCAGTTGGTGTTGAAAAGCATCTCTTTCTTTGTTTGCCTGGAAAACCAAGTTTTACACTAGTTGATGATCTGGCTTTTTATCTCATAGAGCTACTGGATTAATTCAAGAAAACTAATGAGACTTTGTGTCCTACATATCCCTCAGAAGGCAGTGCTAAGTGAATCTATCAGTGATTCAATTGATTTGGCTTGATTTCATTTTTTTCTTATGAGTACTGCTCCACTGAGCATTGAACCCCCATGAGACTGTTGCCAGCTGTTTGTTCTCCTCATGGGCGACTGGTGTCTCCTGAGTCTGGCGGGGGGCCACCAATGAGGCACAAGTAGGAGGGGTCCCGCAGCAACTGGTGGGGAGGGTCCCCCAGTGGGCGGTCACCGAGCGTGCCAGTGGTATGGTGGTGGCAGAAGTGCCAGTTGCACCAGCAGCCAATTTCAGGTGGGGCATGAGCACTCTCTGCGCCCCACTACCAGCTGGAGTGCTCACTCTCAGGGAGGCCACCAGCTCTGTCGGGGGGGGGGGCACGTGACCCCGTCCCCCCCCATGCATCGCCTATGGTTCTCTTTTCCCTTTGAGCAGGTGTTTGCTCTTTCAGCTGGTGTAGTAGTAAGCTCAAAATGCATGGCCTCTCCTCAATACTGACAAATACTGCTCTTGAGCGTAGGTCACAAAGGATCTGATTACGTGGAGTCCTACTAGAATGATACACTTCCATATGTCCATTTGGATTGGCTGCTCGGGAAGGATGACCTGACTAAAGCTGGAAGTAATTTCAAAGAACTGAGGTCCCGTGCTTCCTGGGTGAGTGCACAAGTTTACTGGACAAAAGGTGGGTACCATCACTGCCGTGTTTGTGCTGTAGATGCCAATTGGACATGCTGTGGGAAGTGTCTAATGAATCAGAGATTTACAAGGAGCCTCCCAGCAAAATCTGGATTGCAGTGAAGTTTAGTGGAAATCAGGCACCTAAACCCTTGATTTGGACCACTCTGGAGCAAACGCACAGGGTTAAACCAAGGTGCCCATATAACTTTTCAGGCTAAACTGGAGGTGTCTTATGATTGTAGGTACCATGGTTTTGTGTTTGCTGGAACAAGGTCAGTCATAAGTGAAACGTTGGCATCTAAGTCACATAAGTCCTGTTTAGACACCTATCAAAATGATTTGGTTCTGGCTTGTGGTCAGCCCTGTGCATGCCACAGTAGCAGAACAGGGATTAAGCAATGTTAATTTGGAGAATCTTGTATAAACATGCTGTTACAGAAACTGCTTAGGGCTAAGTTCAAACTGTGTGCTATTAGTGGTGCATTACGAGCTTGCTGTGCAGGAGCTGGAACCTGAGAGATGTTCCTACCTGCAAGATACTCACAGGCAAAAACATCACAAACTAGACAGCTGTCCTACACAGAAGCAGCAGCTAGAAACACATGAAGAGCTGGATTGAACTTCAGATACGGTGCTTCACGCTTCATGAAGTGTAGAACCTCAGACAGAGAGCGAACCTGAATTTAGCTTACATATCTCAGATTGAAAGTGATTGTGGATTTAGTGTATATGCTTCCAAGGCTTCAAGAACTGTGGTATATCAAGGCTAAGGAAGACTGCACCAAAAAATGCAAGGTTCTCCATCTTGGGAGGAAAAACCTTCAGCATGTCTATAGGCTCAGCAGTGCTATGCTGTCTAGCACTATAGACAAAAGTGACTTGGGGGTCAGGATTGACCACAAGATGAACATGAGCCTTCAATGTGATGCTGCAGCCAGTAAAGCGAGCAAAATGCTGGCTTGCATCCATAGATGCTTCTCAAGCAAATCCTAGGACGTCATTCTCCCCTTGTACTCCGCCTTGGTGAGTCCGCAGCTGGAGTACTGCATCCAGTTTTAGGCTCCACAATTCAAAAATGATGTGGAGAAGCTTGAGAGAGTCCAGAGAAGAGCCA